TTTAATATTGACATGTTTAAGCTTTTTCAACGCATCATTTTTTGCATGTTTAGCTAAAGATTTTTTTGGATGCTTAAGGTATATTGTATATTGTAATGCTTAAGAAATTCCCCTTGCAGTTAAGTAAGAAATCGGTATGTTGGCCTGTTAAATGGTCAAAACAATGCAAGGGTTGAAATGTTAACTCAAGTCGACGTTTTAAAGTCTATTGGAGGGCGAATAACTCCTACTTTCGCAACGTATAATATTTTTTCTTCTTTCGCAACGTAAAACTATCACTATTTTTGTTTCACAATTTATTTAATTAAATTTCATTTTTTCAACCTTATAGGGCGGTGCTATCAGGGTACACTCAGGCGCTGCAAATCTGGCTTCCAAGTATGAGTACTCAAATCTTTTTGCTTTTCGAGATATGGCGTTTTTCATATTTTAAAAAAAAAAATTTTTCAAATAACTTGGATTAAAAATCTAGCCGAAAATGAAATTCTCAACCCTCTGGTGGGGAACTGTCAGTGTACACTCAGGACTTGCAATTCTTTCGTCCAAGTATTATTGCTCAAATTCTTTCGGTTTTCGAGAAACGGCGTTTTCTATAACTTTTTTGTTTTTTTTTCTCGAAAAACTCAGATGTAAAAAATTAATTTCGAATTTGTAATTCGCCATCCAATAGTAGCGTGCTGTCAAGGTACCTTCTTTTACTTAGGAGTTAAAAATCAACAGTCATTTTATCATTGCTCAAATTCTTTTGGTTTTTGTGATATGGCGTTTTTTAAGACTTCATTGTTTTTTTCAAAAAACTTAGATTAACGGAATTTGAAAGTCGCAATAATATGGTGGTGTGCTGTTAGATTACACTCAGGAGTTGCAATTCTTACCTTCAAATGTGGTTGCTCAAATTCTTTCGGTTTCCAAGATAAGGCTTTTTTTAAAATATTTTTTCAAAAAATTTTGATGTAAAAAACTAAAAGAGCTTCAAGTTCTCAACCCCAAGGCGTGGTCCTGTCAGTCACACATTGGCATTGCAAATATGCCCTCTAAATATAAGTGATCAAATTCTCTTGGTGTTCGAGATAGGGCTAAAAAACTTGAATTAAAGGAATAACCGATCTTGAAATTCTGAACCCTTATGTTGCGGTTCTGTCGGGATGCATTCGAGAGATACTGTCAGGTCACAAATCTGGCATCCAGTTTTTACTGCTCAATTTGTTACTGCTTCTGAGAAAGGGCGTTTCTCATAGTTTTTTGAATACTTTTCAAAAAAACTTCAAAAACAAGTAATAGAATTTAAAAAAAAAAACAAGTAATAGATTTAAAAACAAGTAATAGAAATTCTTAACTGCATGATGGGATGCTGTCAGTTAACAACATAGGGTAGAAAATCTGCTCAATTTATTTTGGTTTTTGAGATATGGCGTTTTTATGAAAAAGAAACCCCTGATATTGTAGGAAGCTCAACGAAATAGTCAAGTGTGCCCTAGGCTCCGTCCACATTCCAGCAACCCTGGAGCCCCCCGGCCTCCTAAGATCCGACAACAAACGCCCAGATGGCATGTCACTTCTCAGCTTGTCCCGAGGTCAGTCAGTTGTATGGGACGTAACCGTCGGGACGCCTTGGCACCCAGCAGAATATCCAATTTTGCACCAGGAAAAGCCGCCGAAGAAGCCGAATCGAGAAAACGATCAAAATACACCGAGGTAATCCAGGCAGGGTACAACTTCATTCCCCTCGCCTTCGAAGCTCAAGGTCAACCAGGGCCCGACTCTAATAATTTCATCAAAGACCTGGGAAAACGGCTCATCGTCGCCACAAAAGAGCCACGCGCGGCTATGTTTTCAAAACAACGGATATCTATTGCTATTCAAACTGCCAATTCCGCCTGTATTCTGGGCACAATCCGAGAAGTTAAATCCCTAGAAGAACGTTTCTATACTATATAACTCCTTCATTTACATGACCTTATATGACCGCGTATTTAATTTACTTTTTTTGAAGTTTGAGGAAGCTCTTTTACGTTTTACGATCTGTTTGAGGCACCGTAGTTGTGATTCATGCGCTAATATTTTTGATCGCTCCAATCTAATTTTTCACAGTTTGATTTTCGGTTTTTTTAGCGCAAGTGGAACTAACGCAAAAACAACGTGAATGATTTTGTGTCGAAAGTGATTTCAATTTCAGAATCCCCTGCGGAATAAAAAATTACTTATTAATCCAGTTTTTCTCTAATTGGGTTAGTTTCATTTACCTTTGCGATCACGAAGGTTTTTGCAACCGGGTTTTGGACTTTTTCCCGTTAATAACTTAGTTCGCAGAACAGTCAATTATGTAGAATTGGTAACTTTCACGTGCAGAATTGGACTGCTGACATGCTAAATTTCTTGAAACATTAAATAATACTACCGTAATTTAGATTATTTTTAGGTGGTAAATAATTTTTCAAATAATTTTCCTGATGAAAAAAGTTTTTTTTTTGGATTCACGGTTTTTGTCCTAGCTCTTGTCGGTTCATTTTCCAATGCAGTTTGTCTTTTCAAAATAATATGCCGTAATCATTGAAATACCATTTATTGCTCGGAAATTTTTTGTTCGCTTATTTTCTAAACTAGGTTTTTTTTCTGTTCTTTATCTTAGACCGCATAGTTTAAGAGTACGGAATGTAGTGAAGACTCTTAAATAGGTCTTGCTGACTTTGTTTTTGTTTTGTCAGGAAAAAGTTTTAAAATGTGCATAAAAGTCTCTAATAATTACAGATGTGCGTTCATTTTTATTGATGCATTTATGAATGCTATTAGGTATATATGCACTTTTTGAGTTCAATTGAAATTCATCTGCCCTAAATTTCAATTGAAATTCAAAGTGACTTAAATAGCACCTTCCAAATACTAACGTGATCCAAATGGCGCGGAAAAAACGTGAACGATTTCTAGTTTCGAAAGTGGAGTTTATTTTTTCTAAGATTTACCAGCGGAAGAAAAACTTTACCGATTGATCCAGTTTTCTCGAGTTGGGTTAATGTTATCAAAAAAGCGCCAATCATAAATCGTTCTAGAACTTCAAAGAGCTTTAAGGGCATCTATTTTTTCTTTGATTTTCAAAAGGTGAGATTATTTCACCAAAGTTTTTTCATGTTTACTTGGTTCATTACTCTTTTCATCTTCGATTGGCTATGTTTTTATTGTATCGCAAGTGTTGCGAATCTTCGCTTCGCCTTTTCATTCAAAAATGTAATTTATAAAAGATGCCTTATTTTGAAAGAGCTTCAACGTGATATGTTTTGCCTTTGAAACTCGAAAATAGTTGAAATGTCTTTTTTTTCGTTTTCCTTCTATAATGACATGAGTGATTGACATGAATGGTTTGAGTGATATATCATATGAAAGCCCTTTCAATCGTGATTAGAACGACTTTAAAATTTCTAAAGAATTTTCTCAGTGTCCTTTGAATTTTTTGATTTTTAGTCTAATTTCGAGTGGGTAAAGTGATTATCGAGCAGGCTCACAATCGCTTGTTTATGCTTAGTTTAAGCCATGAAATTGTCGTTTTGCTCGAGTAAAGCTTGTTTTTGTAGTTTTTCAGCGCCATTTTGGGAATCAAACATTCAAACAAATTCTGCAAAAAAATTAAAAGATTTTTGATTTTTTCTGGTTTTGATTTTTTCGGCTTTTCTACAAAAACTGATTTTTTTCTTGTTTTTCTTTTTTGATTTTCTACAAAAACTGTTGTCGGATTTGCCTATTTTAAGATGACTGTCGAATATGTTTAAGTTCTAGTTTTTTTGTTAAGATCCTTCATCATATCACGCAGAGAAAACTACTCTAATTTGAAATAAAAAATAAATTTGTTAGGTCCTCTCCCTTCTACAACGCGCTCAGAATTTTTTGAAATTTCCAAGTAAGTGTGGTTGAAGAAAGTTCTGGCTCAGCAGCCGGCTACTCTTGTATTTTTTTTAAACCATTTTTTTACAAATTCAAAATTAAATGTTAATTGGAAAATTAAGTTGAGTATTTATTTCAGGTTTTTTTATTGAGGAATATAATTAGTTTTGAGATGCTGTTAGCCTGTATTTTCTGGGTATGTATTGCTGTAGTGATATCACGATGCCCCCAAAAAAATGGTTTTTAAGGAGACATTATCTTTCGTGTAAATATTTTAAATTTTTGATCGACTCGAAAAAAAAACTCATTTTTGTAGTTTCGACCACTACACGAAGTGGGAAGAAACCATTGCATATAAGAGTGTGTTTCTTTTCAGACGGATTTTAACTTCTTGAAAGAAAACTTGACGGTGGTTATGTTTTTTATCTGATTAAAGCGCTATTGCCTGTGATTTGGATTTGTTTATCGGACTAATTCGCATGCACGAAATTTACGGTTGATTGAACTCTCAATTTAATTCTACAGCGTTTTAACTTTAACTTAGCTATTTCCTCTCATTTTTGCAGCCTACCTCATTTATTTAGCCTTTAACTGAAAGCAAACAACAGGAAGTTAGGCGTAAAAATAAAAGGAGTTTCAATTTTTGTAAGATTTTTTCTTAGCTTTTATTGGAATCCTTACGAAGTGACGCGAATGAACTATCGATTAGCCTTTTTGCGCCTGATTTCGCCTACCTCAAAAACAGTCTGTACTTAATCGACTGTGGCATTTTAAAGTCCTTTCAGCTGTGATTTGGATTCTTAAAAAACAAAAAGTTGTCTCAGTTTCTCATGTTTACGTTTCTCATGTCTCAGTCTCGCAATGTTTACGTTTTACAGACTAAATGACACGAAGTTTACGAAATGGCACAACTCTCAATTCAATTTTCTAAAAGATTTTTACATCAAGTTAGCTATGATAACCTCTCTTTTTTGCAGTATTTTAAAGAAATTTTGGGGCTAATTAAAAGTTTCCTTAGTGAAAAATTAACAGACGATTTGCGCATAAAATTTTTCCAGTTTTTAATACAATTTCTCAGACTTTTGATTTTAGATCTTTGTGGTTTGCAAACTGACTATGATTTAAAGAAATTTCAGGGCTCAATAATCTGTTTTGAAGTACTGAAGGTGTGAGTCAGGTGCTAGTTGTTATCTGTGATTTTTTCAGTGCAATGTAATATGTCAGTTGATTTCAACCTGAAGTAGATTTAGTATGTTGTCCAATCAAAAAAGACCAAGAGAAAATGTGGACAACGATAACTGTTATGCATGGAAAGAAAACATGACGGAGAGTCACAAACGACAAAATATCGAACCTGGTACTTCAAATCATTTGAAAGATACTCTTTCAGTTCTGAAAGATCTCGTAAATTTAACAGATGCCGAAACTTCTGATGTTGAAATTGGTCAGGAAATTCGACACACGCGGTTCAAGGTTGAGAAATGTGACATTTTGTCGTATTATCATTTTGTGTTAACCTTGAAAAATGATGCAAACAATAATGATGACTTAGAATATACATTGGATGTTAAAGGCAGATGGTGCGACGGCATTTCATACGAACCCGGTGCTACAATATCTTTCCATCCTTGCAGTACACTTTTGAAATACAGAAAAGATTGCATTTCTAATGAAGAGAAAGACAAAGTTTTGATTTTATATCCCAACTTTTTAGTCAGTGGAACCACTATTGTATCAAGTCTCAGATGTAAAAGGCAGACTGTTTTAAACGAACTCTTCAAGAGGTCGGGTTTTGCCAAGCCATTACTGCTTGGGAATATTATGCATCAGATTTTTACTACCTGTTTTCAAAATAAAAACTTTTCGCGAAGTTTTTTCCTCGAAACTTACAAAAAGGTATGCCAGAATATTTCACACCTCGAAGCATTTTTTGCTCTTGATATGTCACCGGACTTTTTGGGAAAAGAAATTGAGCAATATATATCACCAGTTGCAAGATTAGGGGGAGCTTTAATGGGCAAATTTCCGAACAATTCACTTCAGGCGATGGGGGTTGAGAAATTATCTTGTGAACAGGTTGAACGAAATATTTGGTCGCCAACTTTGGGGTTGAAAGGAAAAATGGACATAATAACGGGAACCCAAAATTCTGACGAGAAAGTTGTGTTAGAACTGAAGACAGGTCGTGATACGAATTCAATCGAACATCAGGATCAAGTTAGACTTTATAATAAAATTTTAAAGTCTGAGGGTATTTTCAATTCGGCCAAAGGAGCTTTAGTGTATTTAAAAAGCGGAAAAATTTACCCGGTTAGCGATCAGTCGTTGTCAATTCGAGAATTGATCATAATTCGTAATACTTTAGTTTACTTTTTGACTCAATCTGGCTTAAAAATCAATCGACAGAAAGAATTTAAACCACAGTTTTGTATGAAACTTCCTGATTTAGAAGAAGATCAATTTAATTGCTCAAACTGTGATCAAAGATTTAATTGCGGGCTGTTGTCTCGGATTTCGGAAAGCAAGTCGACCGAACAAACCCCAAAGCTGACCGAACTTCATGCGGATTCATTTGTAGTTTCTCCAGATCATTTGAGATTTTTCTCCAAGTGGTACAATTTGTGCTTGCTTGAGTTTCCAATTTTACCAGAACCGGATTACTCGAAAATGTGGATGCAGACTTTCGAAGAAACCCGTGCAAAAGGAACAACAGAAGGAAACTTCGTTATCAAAACGCAAAAGCTATCGGAGCTTGATTCTTGTGTAGTTAACTTTGAGAAAGATGCTTCTAGTAATGAGTTGGTTTCAAACTTGATCTCTGGTGAGAGAGTTCTAATTAGTACTCAGTGTTTATCTGCAATTAATGTTGCCGCAGGAGTAGTTAAAAACGTCACTCAACGCTCAGCCGATGTTGCTATTGATCAACCTATTACCATGGACCAACAAAAGGTTAATGAAGATATGAAATGGAGATTGGACAAAGCGAACCAAGAAACAACAACGTCTTCTACTCTAAGTTTGATGCTTTCAAATTTGTCCCAATTAATGTCACAAAGCGGAAATAGCCGCGTGAAAAGATTACGTCAGCTTATTTTAGAAAACGAAGATGCTCTTTTTGAAGACACCGATAAACATTTAATTCCAATTGATTTGAGACAAGAAGCCAGAACTATACTTATGGTTTTGAATGGTCAACAAAAATTAGCTGTGAGAAAAGTTTTGATGTCGCACGATTACACTATAATACGAGGAATGCCAGGCAGCGGAAAAACAACTGTAATAGTCGCAGTGATTAGACTTCTCGTTTTATGTGGGCATCGAATATTACTAACTTCATTTACAAATGCAGCAGTTGATAATGTGCTTCTGAAACTGAAGAGCCTTAACGACAGTAGTATTAAAATAGTTCGTCTGGGGGTCAAATCTAGAGTTCACGCCGACTTGGTCGAATACCTGCCAGGTTCGAATGGACTCAGTTATGATAATGTTAACTCGCAGTTTATGACAGCAAATGTGGTAGCCGGTACTGTCTTTAACGTCAACCATCCTATTTTCAGCGGATCTAAAAGAAAATTCAACTTTTGTATTGTAGATGAAGCTTCGCAGATTCTCTTACCTCTGTGTATTGGGCCACTCTTCGCAGCTCAGAGATTCGTTTTAGTCGGAGATGAGAACCAATTAGCACCTCTCGTGTCCAATGAAAAAGCGAAACAAGAAGGACTATCAGAAAGTCTATTCGAATACATTGCCACGCGGAACAACAAGGCCGTGTTTTCTCTGTGTGAACAATACCGAATGAATTCAAAAATCATGGAGTTGAGTAACAAATTGAGTTACAGAGGTCAAATGAGAGCAGCTAACCAAAAGGTAGCGGAAAGAATTCTAGATCTGAAGCTTAAAATGAGCTGCACTAAATCTTGCTGCAGATGGCTAAATTCTAGTTTTGACCCAAAGAATGCTGCAGTGTTTATCGACACGTCGAAATGCGATTCAAAGTTTGAACAGCAACGAAACAATAGCTATTTCAATCTTTTAGAGCTAGAGGTTGTCCGACTTCTGCTTAAAATTTTGAAAAAATGTGGTCTTTCTATGGATAATGTGGGAGTAATTTGTCCATACAGGCAACAACTAGTTCAGGCCCAAACTAAACTTTGTTCAGCCGGAAGTGAATTTGCAGGTTTAGAAATACACACAGTTGACAAGTTTCAAGGTCGCGACAAAGAAGTCATAATTTTGACCTGTGTTAGAAGCAAAAGCGAATTGATTCAAAATTCTGAAGAAATTGAAGGTAAAAACCCGAATACTGAGTTATTGAACGATAACAAACGAGTTAATGTTGCGGTATCCCGTGCGAAGAGCAAAATCATCATCATTGGTGACTTGGAAACTTTGAACACTTACCAACCCTTGGCTGTGATAATTACTATTTTGACTTCTAAGAATTGTGTGTTTTCTTATAAGGAACATGAATCTGATCATTAGATAATTTTGCTACCGTTTCTTATTTGTTTAATTTTTAAATTTGTTTGTAAATGATTTTTGACTGTGATTTCTTTTTTTGTAGTGTTGATTGTTATTATGTGTTTCCTAATTGGATAAGTTTTTCAATTTTTTTTGTCCTCAAAAGTCAAATTACCTAAACAAAGAAAGCAATTTATCAGTAAGTTTGGAAAGCTGAAAATTTACGTTTTTTGTTAAATTAATAAACAATCGAAGGAATTGATGATAATGTAGCTGATAATAAAGGTGATAATATACTATTCCAGGCGGAAAATCTATTACATGCGAGATCACCTGAAATCAAAATCTTCATATATGGGAAGTTTTAAATTCAAATATTTTGTTTCAGTTTTGTTGATAATGAAAAGGAAATCGACTTTGGTTTTGAAGAAAGAAGCTTCATTGTTAAATCAAATAGATGAAGTAAACCATCAAACAACGTCTTCAACGTCAACGGCAACCGCCCCAGTCAAAAATATCCGCAAGAGAAAACATCCAAATTGTAGTATAATAACTCCCTCAGCATCGTCGAAGAAACGCATCAATCACGCACTGCCTGACATCGAAACACTGTTACTATGTCCGTCGGAAGAAATACAAAATGCATGTGAAGATTCAAATTTCGCAGAAGTGAACGAATCGATCCCTTCGAGTTCTCTAGGTGGACCACTATACGAATCGGATCTATTCTCACTGACAGAAGAAGAGCTATCAACTATTCAGAGTCAAGCTGCAGAAGTGGGTTTTCTACAACAAGCTGAACCTTCAGATGAAATCGAGATTTTAGGCACCGATTCCAATATCGACAGTTGTTATAATGTACACCACAACTGCAACAATCAAGTGACATTAGATTTGAGTCAAAATTCCAGTTCAGCTTTTGGTGTCGACTACTTTGCACAGAGTCTAATATCCGAATCGGTGATTATAGAAGAAGGACAATTAAGTCAGCATGATTATGTGCAATTGGCGTCTACTGAAACTGATCAAATTTCAGCTAAAGATAATTGCCATCAGAGTCTGGCAGATATGTCAAAATTAAATCCAGAATCTGAAACAGTTCGAGTTACAGGTGAAACGCAGACTTCACGCGTACCTTACGTTTTGATGGTGGAGTCGGATCCTTTAAGTGGCGTCTTGCCTGTAGCTCTAATAGATGAATCATCCAATATGCTGAACTGTGACGTAACTTTACCGCCGGCACCTCAAAACTTCTCGGAAGAATCGGAAGATCTTTTAGAGAGGTTCGAGTCCAGTGCAAACAATAGCAGTGTAGACATGACGCTAGGTAGTAACAGGGACGAACGTCAGGCTAGAATCACATATCTCCTGGAACCCTCTGAGCGACAGCGAAGAAAAGGAACAATCAGTGATCAATGGGAAAAATGTCCTCGTGGCCGAAAAACCCAGGGTGCTGAGCTAGGCGATAACCGAAAACCGAAAACATTCACGTCTCAATGGTCAGACGCTGAAGTGGAATTACTAAAGGCTAATGTTGAGAATTGTGCTGAAATTTACAAGTGCACTCCGGAAGAAATAATCCATTCATGGGAGAAAGGAACAAGAGGCGATTTCTACAAAATAGTTTCAACTGGTCTGAATAGACCTTTGAATTCAATATACAGGAAAACATTGCGACTTTTTCCGAAGAAGAAGGGAAAATCGACCAAATTTACAGAAGCTGAGATTGATCGTTTAATTGAATTGCACAAGAAGTTTGGAAATAACTGGGTCAAAATAGGGAATGAAATGAATCGAGAATCTGAATCAGTTCGAAACAAGTTTAGGTGTCTGAAGTTAACCAATCATAATTCAGGACATTGGGCCGATGATGAAACAGAACGACTGAAGGACGCCATTAGCTCGATATATGGTTCTGATGAAATTCCGAGTTTGAAAATGGACTGGACCAAAATTTCAAAACGAGTCAAAAGTCGAACCTCAAGGCAATGTAGATTCAAATGGATACATGGACTGTACTCTAAAGTAGCAAATAGTGAGAGTTTTCCCAAGTGGTCGATTGATGATACATTAACGGTGCTAGAAAGTTTGATAAGCAGCGGTGCTAATAACGAAGATGAAGTCGACTGGTCCAATTTATGTTCCCAGCTGAAGTTCAAAAGAACGCCTCAATGGTTGCGTAGGTTTTGGACTGTGAGTTTAAAACGCATGATCAGCAACGGAGCAAAAATTCAGTTCCAGGAAGCCGTGAATAAATTGCAGAAGTTTTTCCGAGAGTGTAATCAATTATTTCAGTCGGGCTTAGATGTGAGCGAAGAAGATTTAATATCCAACTACACTTCTTCGATTCTAGATTACGAAAGTCTAAATGAAGTTTTGCTCTCCACTTCAATCGAAGAGCAAGAGTGTTCCAGCATAGATGTTTCCAGCCATACGCGGAATGGTTCGATTGGGGTGACTGAAAATGAATGCGAACTTCAGCTCATGATGTACTCTGTGGACGGTCATTCTGAAGAAATCATTCCCTGTGAAACTGTAAACTCCATTTAAAGATTTCTAATTTTTTAATTGCAATTTATTGTTTCCTGCTTGGTGATGTATTGAAGCAAATGTAGTGCGAAACGAAACTCTATTTTTGATATAATAAAAAAGGTCACTACTTTTGTTTTCACCGGAAAGATATACAGGGGAGGATCTAGTAGAATGCAAGCACATCTTCAACTTGCGTGACTACAGAGGATGTAAGAAGGCATTTTATTGTTCCGCCCATTTCATTCGAAACTTGATCCATGATTCTTGAATTGTCAGAGTTAATTTTCCTGATTTTGAGCCATGAGAACAATGGACACGCTATGGAAATGCTTTTCTCTGAGTGGTATTTTGTATATTAACATTTTAGGATTGTGTTATGTTTGTTCTGGTCATCGAAAATGGGGAGGAACTTATCTTCGGGTGTGATTTAGTTTTTCTTTCCAATGGGATGCTGTCAGGGTCTCCCCAGGTGTTGCAATTTCGGCATCCAATTACGAATAACCAAATCCTTTTGGCTTACGAAATACGACGGTTTTTAATTTTCAGAAAGCTTTTTAAACAAATTCTTGGAACCTCAATTTCCCAACCCTGTAGTTTGCTACTATGAGAGTAATCTCGATAGTTGCGAATATTGCCTCCAAATATGACTGCTTAAATCCTTAAAGTTCTCCAGATATGATTTTTTTATATGATATTCAAACTTTTTCAAAGAACTTATATATACAAAATGTCACACAGTTTGAAGTTTCTATCTCTATAATGAGGCACTGTCAGGGTATTCTCACACGTTGCATGTGAATGCTCAACTTATTTCTAGTTTTCGAGGTACTTTTATTTGATTTCAAAATTTTTCAGATAAAGTAGATTTGCAAAATTTCTCAGAAGTTGAATTTCCCAGCCCTTCAATTAAGACATTTGAAGTTTCTTTCTCTATATTGAGGCACTGTCAAGGTACTCTCAAGCGTTGCATATGAATGCTCAACTTATGTTTCGAGCTCTTTTTTTAATGATTTCGAAACTTTTCAGAAAACTTAGATTCGAAAAATTTCACAGAAGTTGAATTTCCCAAACCTGTAGTTGGGAGTTGTCGAGGTACTTTTAGGAGTTGCGATTCTTACCGTTAATTGTGGTTGCCCAAGTTCGTTTAGTTTCCAAAACATGGCATTTTTCAATATTTTTGAAAAGTTTTTAAAGTTTTATCTAAAAAAGTTTAACAAAGTTTGAAATTCTCACTACTATGCGCTGACAAGTTTTTCCACAGGAATTTTGTATGTGGATTCAAAATTTGACTGCTCAAGCCTTAAGTTTTTCTAGATATGACATTTTAATGATTTTTGAAGTTGTTTTAAAAGTGTTATATTTCATCGAAAAAAAAATCTTTTCGAAATTTGAAATTGTCGAGTCATTAGCTGGTTGAATTCAAATTACTGCCTGCAGTTGTACATGCGGCCTCCATCCTAATATCTTTGCAGGAAATGTTATGACGAAATTGACGTTTTTCTGATTTTCCAAAGTTTTTCAATCACTCAAAAAGTCTGTTGTTTTTAATTTATTTACGGTGGATATATCTATTGATGGCATCAAATGGTATACTTTCGGGCTCATGGAAAGAAAGAACAAAGTTCAAAAAGAGTTTCAAGAAACTTTTTTCGTGCCTTTACTGAAATAGAAAACCGCTGTTAGATGCCCCCGTCTTTTGTTGCAGTTGCGCTCACTTCGTGTTTTGATTAATTATATTTAAGCAGTTTCCACGTTTAGTAATCTGTTTGAAGCAGCAGAGGTGCATTACATGCTGATATCATATTAAAGCCCTTCCAGCCGTGATTCGAACCACATTTGAAAATCCCTAAAAAATAATTTTAGTGTCGAGAAAAACTGGTTCGAAATTTCTTATTTGTCTAATTTCGAGCGAGTGAGCAGGCTTACATTAGTTTGATTAGGCTCAATATACGCCTTGAAAATTTAGTTTTACCTAAGTATAGTAGTCTGATATAGTCAAAAAGATCAAAAATTTGAAATTTTATGTCTTTTTCCGTTTTTTTTTGTTTTCTTAGTACCATTGTTTCCTTCTTTGTGATGTAGTGAAGCAACTCAGTGCAAAATAGTTACTCTGTGCGAAACTAAACTCTATTTTCGATATAATAAAAAATGTTACTACTTCTGTTTTCATCGGAAAGTCAGAAAGGGTGGATCTAGTAGAATGCAAGCACATCTTCAGCTTGTTTGACTATAGAGGAGTTAGAAAGCATTTTATTGCTCCACCCATCTGATTCGAAGCTAGATTCATGACTCCTGAATTTTCAGAGATAACTTTCCAGATTTTGAGCCATGAAAACAATGGACACGCTATGAAAATGCTTTTCTCTGAGTGTTATTTTGGATGTAAACATTTTAGGATTATGTTATTTTTGTTCCGACTTGAAAATGGGGAGAAACTTTGTATTCGGGTGTGTTTTAATTTTTTTGTTTTCCACGCAAAATAAGGTGCCGCAAATAATCATTGGACTGAGTTGGGTGATATACCATATTACACTCCTTTCAGTCAAGATTCGAACCATATTTAAAATTTTTTTCTAGTTTCGAGAAAAACCGGTATGAAATTTTTGATTTTTTTATCAATTTCAAAAATCAAAAAATGAAACTCAAGTATCAAAAATTTTAAAATTGAAGTTTTTTACAATTTTTTTCCGTTTTACTAATAGTTTTTCCACAAAAACTGTTTTTTAATTTGCCTGTTTAACTATGACTGTCGAATATGCCTAATTTTTAGTTTTCTGTTCAGATCCTTTTATCACACCACGCCGAAAAAAATACAATAATTTGAAAATACAACTTTTTTCGTAGTTTTTTTCAAAGACTATGATCTACTTGCACAGTAACCGGTTATCCCTGTTTAATGTTGTATTGTTTTTTTTATATCCAATCTGAATTTACCTCTATCGCATGGCGAAATCAAGAAACAATGAAGTATCTAAAATAAAGATGGTACTTATTGAAAAGTTAATGACTATCAAAAAATATATTTGCAATAGTTTAGTTGCGTTTTTGAAAGTTTTGTTAAAATTGTGGATGTTGTGGGTGGTTTTTTATTTTTCATTCGTGCTTTTTCTAGCGACCCAAATAACATTTTTAAACTCAAATTTTATTAGGATGCTATTTTGAGTTTATGCTCGTAATCAGATGGCATTGGCCTATGTGATGATATTGCTCTAGTTTTCAGTTGAACACCTATTTCAATTTCTGCTGAGAATTTAGTTTGTTTCTGTTCTGCACCTCAATTGTTGCGGTTTAGGAGGAGGAGTGCCCCTCAGAGACTCGACCTTTTCGTCACACGAGTCGATTCAAAGCTTAGATTGATCGTTCAGCTGAATTGCATAAGAAGTTTGGAAAAACTGGGCTAAATTAGGAAAACTATGATACTATTTTACCAATCTATCTATATCTATCTATCTATATCTATCTATCTATCTATCTATCTATCTATCTATCTATCTATATCTATATCTATCTATCTATCTATCTATCTATCTATATCTATCTATCTATACTATATTTAAATGCTAGTGACAGCTATCTCCCATGTTTAAGCATATAAATTTTGGATGTTTAACGAAAGAATTTTTTCATGTTTAAGCTATATCATATATTGCCATGCTTAAGAAAACTTTTCATTTAGTTTTCCGCAAGGTCATTAATTTTTCAGTAATTTTTTTCGAGGCCAAATTAAGTCTGTCTGTCTGTATACCTGCTGTTTTAATTAATTTGATTATGTCTGTCTACCCGTCTCCTATTTTTTTTTAAACTTTCTTCTATCAAATCTATTATCTATTATATATTTAAATGCGGGCTTCACTATCACGACATGTTTAAACTTTTTCAACGTATTTTTTGCATCTTTAACAAAAGAATTTTTTCACGTTTAAGCTATATCGTATATTGCAATGGTTAAGGTTTTTTTTCGATTTTCCCGTTTAAATTCAGTTTTTATTTCATCAAGTTTGTAATTAGCAACCCAATAGTTGGATGTTGTCAGAGTTTTCCCAGGTTTTGCTATTCTGACCTTTATATTGAATAACAAAAATTTTTCAAAAACTTAGATTTTAAAAAATTCCAGTACGTTGAAATCATCAGTCCTGTTGTTGGTTTTTGTGAGGGTACTCTTAGGAGTTGCAATTTTTGCCTCCAATTATGACTGCTCAAATTCTTGTAGTTTTCGAGATATGACGTTTTCTATGATTTTCTCCGAAATTTTCAAAAAAACATGTTAAAAAATTCCAAAACGTTGAAGATCTCAATCCTGTTATTAGAATCTTTTAGGGTACTCTCGTGGGGTTGCAAATCTTGCCTCTGAAAATGTCTGCTCAAAACCTTGTAGTTTTCGAGATATGACGTTTTTTAGGATTTTCTCAAAATTTTTCAGAGAACTTAGGTATAAATTTTTTTTTATAAAACTTGAAATTGCTATCTCTGTAGTGAGGCTCTTTGAGGGTACTCCCAACTCCCAGGAGTTGTGAATTTTGCCTCTAAATATGACTGCTCAAAACCTTGCAGTTTTCCAGATATGTTTTTTGTGATTTTTAAAAAAAAGTTCTATGAAAATTAAATTAGTTTTTTTTTTCAAAGTTGAAATACCTAACCTGTAGTTGGGGGCTGTTAGAGTAATCTCAGGAGTTGCAAATTCGGTCTCCAATTAAGAATGCTCAAGTCTTTTTAGTTTAAGAAATACGACGATTTTTGTGATTTTTTTTGGTTTTTTTCTGAAAACTCAAATTACAAAATAGTTCACTAAAGTGAAATTCCCAACCCTGTAGTTGTGTGCTGTCAGAGTACTTTCAAAGATTGCAATTTTTGACATCTAATAAGACTGCTCAAATCTTGGTAGTTTTCGAGATGTGAAATTTTTTCTGGTTTTCAAAAAAAAAATACCTCTTTTTAGAAAACTTAAGGTGAAGTTTCTCAATTTGAATTTCCCAACGTTGTAGTTGGGTACTGTAAGAGTAATCTCAGGAGTTGTAAATCTTGCTTCCAAATGCGGCTGCTCAATTGTTTTTAGCTTCCCAAATGTGACGTTTCATAGTTCATTTTTCGAAGAACTTATATAAAACTTCACAAAATTTTATGGTTCAT